CCGCGTGTGTGTGTGTGTGTGTGTGTGTGTTTGTGTGTGTGTGTGTGTGTGTGTGTGTGTGTGTGTGTGTGTGTGTGTGCGCATTTAAATATATATATATATATTTTTTTTTCCCGGAATTTTCAGAAAAGTCCACTTTCATCTCTGGACCTATAACCTTTACAATTTGGGGTAACACATATAACAAAGAGGGGAAGTCAAAAAGAAACACTTGCGAGTCGGGTTGCACAACTGTGTATCTCTTCTCATAAGTGAGAATGCTGCTGTATTCTGAATCAAACAATGACATTCAAACTCAACTTTAATGGGAGTCAGCACATTCCAGTCACTATGTTAATCGTCTGATTAATGCCAAATCAATTTAAACTCTTCTCGTTTGATTTTCCTGACATTTTTTGTGGTCATGTCTATGATTACAACCCATCTTCTGCGTAGAGCTTCCACAGCCTCACAGGGCATTCATTGTTCTAAGGTGTCATTCGGGACAAGGGTACAAAAAGAAATGTTTGAAGCAATGAATGTACAATGGAACACAGTGAAGACAGTCATCATTAAGGCTAGAAAATATTGCACAACAGTCACATGACCAAGAACTGGGTATCCCTCCAAAATTGATTCAAAGACAAGTAGAAAACAGAGTCAGGATGGCTGCCAAGAGGAAGGGCTAAAAATTCTGTCAAGTAACTCGCTGTGCAACTCCCGTCTTCTTGATATTTCTGGGCTTTAAGCCTGGCTACATTTTACAATAACACACAAGAACCCTCCCAGACACATGTGATACAATTTATTACGGTCCACTCTGATAAAACCAAGCTTGAACTAGTCGGCCATAATTTCCACTTTTTTGGCTCAAACATCATGCTGCTCATCACCAAAAGAACCAATGGCGGTGGCAGCAGCATCCGTTGGGGCTGTTTTTCCTCAAGCCGGAACTCGGGTCTTCTCGTCAAAGAGGAGGGATTTCTGATCAGTACCAGTCAGTGAGAGGAGACATTCTTGCTTTAAAGCAAAAAAAAAAAAAAAAAAAAGTCATGAAAAGCCTACTGAACTTTATTTGGGGTTAATCAGAGCAGAGATGAAAGTCCTCCGGATTTTCCCGGAATTCCGGGTTTTTCAAATTTTTTTGAAAATTTCTCCAGAGAATTGAGGAAAATTTGCCTAAAATTAATCCAGATATTAGTTGACAACATTGAACGAAGACGCGATTGAGTTTGTTGTTTTGCTTTCACGAGCGTAGCCATGTTGAGACACTAACACTAGTAACAGTAAAAAGATTTTCGTCTCTTTATAAACACACTTGCTAAACCCCAGTGGAACGAATAAAAGACACCGTGGACAAGACAGTTGTCGTAAAAAAATACATTTGGACAAAAAGGGAAACACACAGATTGGCAGAAAAACGTGTCCGTCTGACTTCGAGTGTTGTCTCGGCTAACTTAGCTGTTGTCGTGTGTGACGTCAGTTGCGTTGGCGCTGATTGGTTGAAATGAAAAGACGCGCTTGCGTACATGTTCGCGCTGAAGCACGCACAGCAGAGAGCAGCGGACTATCGACTGCTGAGGCTCGTTTAGCTTGAGTGGCGTCGCCACAACAGCAATACCCTCGCCTCGCATTTTCATGGCCTCGCCATATCTCGGAGATTTCGAAATTTCGGCGAGAACGGAAGCCACAAAGGGTGTGTGTGTGTGTGTGTGTGTGTATTATATATATATATATATATATTTTTGGAATTTTCAGAAAAGTCCACTTTCATCTCTGTCAGAGGCACTTCAACTGGTAGCTGGTGGATTCTGACACCAGTTTACCATGAATTTGCAACCCTTTAAGACTATTTTAACTTGTTTCTGTGTAGTCTAACTGATTTATTTCAGCCTGAATACACTCCACCACCCCACCCCCCCAGCCCCCTTGTCTTCGTTCTCATCCTCTCCATGACTTCTTACCACGACTTTTGTCTGAAAGGACTCTCAAGAACTTGCCAGCGTGCACATGCACAACTGTACTTGCAAGTGTACGTAGTGATCAGTTTGAGCATCGTGTTTGACCTTATGTGTCTGTTGGGTCACAAGTGGTGAGTCTCACACCCTCATAGACTGCAGTTTTTACATGCACGCACGCACGCACGCACATGTGACAGCTTTTCATCACATTGTGCCTGTTCATTACTTCCCGAATGTGTGCAACCCAGAGGCAGTCCCGCTCGTCATATGATCTTGGGTTTGGTGGAGCAGGCTCTCCTCCCTCAAGGAACAACTTTATTTAGATATGCACAGTTAAAAACTTTAATAGCGCTGAGGTTGAATGGTGGTTGCACAAGCAAGACAAAGAGTGTGTTTGATATAACGTCCGTCATTTTATTGACATTTTTCTGTGCATGCTTGATTGAGGCCCCACAAGTCTATGGATACGCTTCTTTGAGCACCGCAACCAAAACAGGTTCAGTTTGTTTCTGATTTAAAAAGAAATGCATTGAAAAATTGAAAGTCGTCACATAGTCAACTGTTGTGCATTCATTAAATTGTTTACTCGAACAAATTACACACATTTTATCCTTCCACCAAAACACTCCACCAGGGAGTCAGTGGGAGTCTTTTAACTGGTGTTGCTCAACAGTTTCCAACTAAAAGGGTCAAGACATCTGTTTATAAACTTACAATATTGGAATTTGGCTCTGTATTTTTATTTATTTTTCCCAGCATAATATAAACTTATCACTCCTGGCGTGAGAAAAGGTGAATGAAAGATTTTACCATTATGCAGGTTCATTCATTTTTTAAATTTTTTTTTTAAATAAAAAGTATTTTTAGCCCAATAATTTTGTTTCCTTATGCTTTTTTCTCTTGCCTTAGAATGACTGGCCGTGAGTTTTTCACTCGTTTTCCAGCCCTGTATCCATTTCTTCTCAACCAACTCAAGGAGGCAGCTGTCTCAGTGGAAAGGTGAGGGGGTCGTTGTAACTTGATTTTCTCATTCTCATGTAATTTTGTTGTTTAAGATACATTATTTTTTTTGTTAAGTCCAAGCACCAGTCGTATTGGAGGATAATGTTACTCGAAGCTTAAAAAGGATCTTTGAAACACCCATTTTGCGTGTGAAACAAGGTCAACAACTTTCAGCGTTTCGTGAAATGAATACTGTTTATAAATTCCACTTCCTCTGTTGGCCTATTTCAGGAAAAATAAAGAATACAGCAAATGTGTCACGAACTTTGGCTCAGTGTGTCTGCAGTGGAAAGTTGGGTCCGCTGAGACTCATCTGCCTTATCTTTCCCTGCTTGGACAAAACTCCCCTTTTAAAAGCATTTGAATCATCTAACAGCTCTCCAGGCAGCTTTATCTTACTTTAAATCCAATTAATTGAGGACTCTTTCACAATCCCCCTCACTCCCTTGACTGGTTGTTTAAACTTTCATGGATTTCCCACAGAACCCAATGTCAACTCTCTGACTTCCCCCACATCATCTACAGCAAGCCTTTTTGAAGATCTACTTTTCGATTAACCAAAGGTTCCCAATCGATCTGTTACCGCACGCCGCAAGCGCATACACAAGCATGCCCTGTTGAGCAATACCCATAACGGCCCCGAAGATGAACGAAACAGAAAAGTAAAGTAGACATAAAAGTTTGTGAAAAGAAGTTCACTGTCGACCTTATTAGAGACCTGACACGGAGGCATGGGACGCACTCTTGCAGCGTCTTAACTATCGTAGCTCATGTATACCGTTTTAAAATGCTTCTCTCGGCCTTCCAGATTCCCATTCTTTGCCAGTGCCCTCAGTGAACTGTACATGAAACAAAGTCTGAGTGAGAATAATAATAACAATACAAGGTACAGCGCAACAGCTCTGATCGCAAGCTGCAATTGCAGGCCACTGACCACGAACAGCTTCCCGTGATGCAGGTCACACTCCACCTTAGGTTAAAGGTGACCTGCTATTTTATTTGATTTTATTTTGAATATACTTTTTGTGAAAATAAGACCGATAGGGTGCAGTGTGCATGAACACAAAAATTTATCATTAATAACATGTACACAGACACAAATGGTTTTTTTTTTTTTTGTTTGTTTGTTTGTTTGTTTTTTTTTTGTTGTTTGCTAGACCCCTTAGCGATCGACTTGGGACAAGTCCGTGAGCTACCGGTCGATCGACGTATTTGGCACCCCTGGAGTAGATGGCGGCAAATCCTCCTCTCTTGATTTAGAATCATAATGATGCTTCAGCCTTGTGCTCAATTTTAATTAAAACCCCTTAAAGTTAGGAGGGCCCCGCCAAGGGCCCTCCGTCATCTGTCAAAACAAATCGCTGATGCACGTCGCCATGTGTGAACATGTTATACATCTTTTAAAAGCTGAGTTTCTGGAGATTCGAATGGTACCCTACATATTACAATTGTCAAATTTGAACCGAAGCTTGGGGAGACTTAAGCTTTGATCCTGTAGTGTTTTCAAGTCCAAATCAACATTCTAAATCCATTTTCAAGGCAGATATTGTGAAAAGAAATTAGACAAACATAAGATTCACCTTTTTTGTCTGTTTTTGAACATCCATAGTTCAGTGACAGGCGCACTTACACAGATTCTTACTGTATGGCAGAAATATTCATAATAACAACATTTTGAATATTTCAAAAAGAGCCCAAAACTATGCTGATACTCTAAATGGTTCAAGAATAGCTAAACATTGACTTTGGGTGCACCTTTCCACAGGCGTATTTGGCAAAGTTGCCCTCGGTTTAAAGGTTAACAAGCTCGGTCGCTGTCCAGTTGCCCAATTCCAATTCAAGGCCTGTATCTGAATTCTTTTAGATTTTGATTTACGAGAGACAACAAAGATGTAAACAATATTAAAAAACAAACAAACAAATATTAAACGTAACTGTATCCATGTATTTATAGTGACAGTGGTCAAGTGAAGCTGCATCCCAGTCTCTTCCTGCTTCTGCTGGTGCTCAGCCGAATTTACCCGTCTCCAATGGATGGCTCCTCTTCACCTCTGGGACTTGCCCCATTCATGCCTTTCATCATCAGGTAAGGAGGAGACAAGAGCACACTCAAATCTAAGGATGTTTCTCCTGCTGTAGTACCGTGAAAAGCTAACATAAACTCCACATAGTTTTCTTTTTTTTTCTGGTCTTCATATCAGTGAGAGACAGAGAAGTATCACATGTCCGTTGGTGGCAGTGGCTTAGTTGAGTGACTGCTTTTTTAATTTTTTCTTTGGACAGCATATCATCTCAATCTTTCAGAAAATTCCAGCAAAGCTTTTTTTTTTTTTTAAGCCAAAATGGTTACTTCCCTAGGTGCCACAGGGCCTTGCATGTGTTTTCCAGCTCAAGTGTCAAGCGTGGCACTTGGGTTTGTCGGCAACAAGTGAATGACACATGTCAGCATGTTTTGGATGCCAGAGTTGATGTTTAATGAGTAACTTAGAAAGCAGAAAAGAATGGCAGAAAAAAGTTGTCAAATAATGTATCCCTTCCAAATGACAATAGTACATTGCAATTAAATATAAGGTGCATGCTTTTTTTTTTTTTTTTTTCTTTTTTAACAAAATTGAATTACATGAACTCTTGGTGATTTTGAAGCGTTTGTGTGTGTATGCCTGCGTGCGCTATAACACGTTATCGTCTGACAGCACAGTTCATTGCTTGGTTTTTGTTCCAGTCTACCTGCCAACGTAAGAGTTGAAGTGCCCTTGAGTAAGTCTGAGATCTGCGTGGGCTGACTCAGTAGCCAACTTAATGTTCTATCCGTAGCTCCTCCCTATTGTCATCACTATCAATGAGAATGCGGCTTGCCGGCAACTGGAATGCCGTATCACATGAAGAGGGTCACACACCTGCTCACTCAACCACGATAAACTTCTCAAACAGTTCTATTGAGCTGTACAGCCTTTCTAAGTATGGAAACATACAATCATGAAGACAAAACACATGTAGTCTAAACGTACATCGGCTCATCTATTTTCTTTTGCTTTGCACTGGTTGCCCTGCAAATTATACACAAAGTTGTATTCCCATAAGATATCAGTTGTTTTTATTTAATCTATCTGGTTTTAACTGCAATGATGAAGCTAAAAATTAAACATATAACGTTTTTTTTTCATGTTAACAATAATATTGTGACAGTCTTAAGGCTTTTGTCCACATGGGCACAAAAAAACAAAACAAAACAATGCATGCAGTGTATTGTGTTTTGGGCTTGCGTTCACAAATATTGATATTTATCATTAACAACTGTGCATTAAAAACAATCTCAATTTGAAGATTTGAAGACTCGGTCTTTAGTGGTCTGTTACAGCATTTTGACATGTCATTTGAAATGTGTGACATGATTTTTGCAATGGCGAGTGTGACACGCATGCACGTGGGCTATTCCACCATCCCTCCATCCATCCATCCATTCATTCATTTTCTGAACCACATATACCCGGTCAGGGGCGTGCTGGAGCCTATCCCAGCATTCACTTAAATACAAATCCGATTCCAATGTAATTGAGACATTCTGTTGAACATCAATAAAAAAAGGAAAATAATAATTTGCAAATCATGTTCAAATTCTATTCAATCAAATTCGCTACAAAGACAAGATACACTTTGTTTTTAATAAATAATCATTAAATCCGAATTTTATGGCTTCAATACGCCCCCCCCCCCAAAAAAAAAACTGGGACAGGGTCATGTTTACCACTGTTGTCAGGGGCATCCATGAAAAAGACGTTTGGATAACAGCGTATATTTCTCCTAAACCTGTATGTACCTTTCAGTGCCTTCACAGCTATGTGAGTTACCCATTCATGACTAACACAGTCATACTCCAAAAATCAGAATACATGTATTCCAAGATCATCTTTGAAACACAGCGGAGGGACTAAGGCATATTACAGTTTGGGCTCCTTCTGGCATGGACTCACTTAACATCATTCCTAATTTAGCAACAGGGCATCAACAAAATGAACTCATAAGTCTACAGAAAGACTTTGTCTGACAATTTACAGCGGAAGTCAAGTGAAAAAAAATCTTTGCAATAATATGTGTATAATTTGTTGTGTACAAATAATCATATGATGAGATGATTAAACTTTTATTTGCTTACACTGTCATAATGGCCCTCCGAGGGAAGACGTAACTCCAAAGTGGCCTGTGACAAAAAGGAGTTTGACACCCATGCCCTAAAACAACTAACAGAAAGAGGTGACAAGCTGAAAAAGCATCACCAAAAAGCAATTCTGCAGAAATTTGGCAACGTCACCTGGTTATTGCCAATGATTTGCAATTATTTGCTCATCTGCAAATGTGTTGTTTGATCTCCTCTAAATTGTATGTCAGATCCAGATTGTGCCTGGAATGAAAAGCCTCTCTTGTGTTGATATCAAACCCAAATATTTTTAGTTGACAGAAATTAAATAAAAGAACTTACTGTTCCAATACCTTTGGAGAGGAGTGTAGATCCTTTTACCTCGTGCCAGGAAAATGCTTTTTATGCTTTGAAAATATCCATGTATTTGTGAACATGGCCTTAGTTGGAAGTTTTTGTTTTTAAAAAGTTTTGTTGTTTGTGCTGTCTAATGTCAGACTGAGTGATTAGATTGTGACGGGTTTTATCTGGACTCCACTGTGTTTACTGGGGAGTAAAGCTTTCAGGCGAATGGGAAACTGTGTTTCTAACCTTCATTTTTGACATTCCTGAGATGGAGAAGTCTGCAAATATTATTCAGACATGTTCATCGACTGCACCTGCAAATCAGACCCGACCTGGAAATCAACCCCCCGTTTTGTGTTTAGCAATCCAAAAACTAATCCAAACTTCGACAAATTACGTTTTGACAGGTAATCCTGCATCATCCCAAATGCAATATATAGTCTTTTTTTTTTGTTTTGTTTTTATGAATTGAATAGGACTATGCTTCCACCCTGTACACAACAATATAAAAAAAAAAGGAACATCCCATGGTACCGTCTAAAGAAGTATGAGTAAAAAAAAAAAACTCCCGCATGCTCTATTTTAACAATGCAGCCGGCATGTATATTTTCAGATGAGATCAAGATGTCTTGCAAAACCCATGTTATGCATCCACAAAGACGAGTTATTTCTCAATCCAACATGAGTCACTCGAAACCAAAATGATTGTCTGGTTAATGGCTGCTGGAATAAAACCTACACCATGAGATGAGTCAATGATGAGCGAAAAAAACAACACCAATTTCTGAGGCCTGCCAAAAGTGATTCTCTTTGTTGTTACACATTATGATTATTCCCAACTCCCAAGCGGTTTACAACCCTTGCAGTTCACCTTGCTGGTAGAACCACCCGTATTGACTCCATTCATCAATATTTGTACAGTTAAACTTTTGTCAGTCCACATAATTTAATTTGCAGAAACCAAAGTGCGACAATGGATTCCACACTGCCTTTTTATGATCGCGTATTTTTAAAAACTTAGATGTCATGAATATCCACCGATTCCTTGTTGGAGCTTCTACAATCCGGTGAAATCTTACCTTAAAAGATATTGGAGTTTATATTTATATTTATCTTGGTTTGCCCCTCATCTGCATCCCACTACTTCTAACTGTGATTATAGACCAGCAGGTCTGTAACAATAAACAGTTACTCATAAGCCTTTCTTATAAATAAATACCCTTTTCCGAAATAGCTTTTTTTCTTCCAAATTTATACCGTTGTTTTTCATTTTATTTTTTCTCCACACATTTATCCATATCATAGTTCTCCTCTCCTTGACAACAGGATCCTGACGGACCGCTTGACTGTCAGAAGTTATGCGGTGAATGTATCCACCCTAAATGAAGACCACATCTTGAAGATGTTAAAATTAGCATCCGTCCCAACTTAATTGGCCCCGGTTTTAGTTGTCTCTACCTCCCTCCCATCTCTCAAACACGCTTCATCAGGCCTGTGCTAACATGCCCCATGATATGAATAACTGTCACTCCCTCCACCTGCAGAATGTTTTTCCTATTTCCATTTCGCATCTCATATTTACATGTCGAATGATCATGTGTATGTCAAGAAAAAAAACAGCAACTATATGCAGATTCATGTATTTCTCTTTAGGATTGATGGTCTCTCATATTTCAAATACTGAACAACTGGTAACAAGTGTCTTATCTCCACCGACGTCTGTAATTTTCTCTCCCTCATTCTCATGTAATGGCAAAGTGTCAGAGCTCCATGAGTTATGATAACAGCCCAGAAATCTCTCCTCCCTTCTTTCTTTTACCATACTCCCATCACATTTCTTATCTCTATTCAGACGGCTCTGTAATGGCCACACACTGTATATTTTCCAAAGTTAAAATGTTCTTTTCTTTTTTTTTTTTTCTTTCTTATCCACCCACATGTCATTGTAATACCGGCTTATGTCAAGACTGACAGTACACAATGACACATCATGACGTGTTTGAACTCAAAATACAGTGAAAACAAATTCAACTTCTATAAAATAGTTTCATCTGAAATACTCATCGAAATATAAAAAACAATCTTGGTTGCAGTTTCTGTCTTCCAATGTTTCGAGGATAAATAACTAGTATAACAATATAAAAATATATAATAACAACCATAAACACCAATAAAAATAATACAAGGCATTCTACACAAGTAATTATTTTGTAATTAATTGATTTGCATGGAGACACGTACGTTATACTGTACATGTTTGATTATAAAGCTGAAGGGAGTTTAGTTCCATTTTACTTCTTTCTTTTTTGAGAAAGTAAAGAGAGGCTGTGACGGTGTTTTGGTGCATTCGTCTCACTTTCAAGAATCCAAATGTTGTGTGAATGACCAAATGGAGCCCTCTCATTTGAAGTGAGTCACCACTCCACTTCCTAACTTGGGCTCATTCCCCAGTGACACATTTGAGTGCTTGAGCTTGTTTGTCCAACAACATGCTGAAAAGTCTCCGCAGGAAACCATTTGACCAGTTTTCTTCAAATGAAGCCCAGATGAGACTCACCCATGCCAGTCAACAGCCTTCATACCGACCCCAGTGGGCACAGCTCGGTTGCTAAAATTACACACGACCAAACTGTCATTTCCTTTCACCAGCGTTTCCATTGGAACAAATTACAAAAGATAGTTAACATGTGCGCCAGAAATAATGGTAAGGGGTCGGGCCCAAAATCAGGAACGGTCAAAGGTGTGTCTGTGTCTGCCTCTGCGTGCAAGTACACAGATAGATGTTTAAAGGCCTACACAGTAAAATGAATTACGGTACTTGTGTTTGAAATCTGTTAGTGTAATGATTTCAGCCTGGTTTGTGTGTGTGTGTGTGTGTGTGTGTGTGTGTGTGTGTGTGTGTGTGTGTGTGTGTGTGTGTGTGTGTGCCCGTGTGTACTGCTTGCATGCGCAATCAGAAATGGTTGACCATGAACTTCTCTGTTCGAATGACTTCATATTGTTTATCAACATGACTGTTGTTTATTCAGTCCTCTGGCAGAATGTGATTCTTACAAACGTTTGAAGATACGACTGCGCTTCTATCCATATCTGACATTTCCTATTGCAAAAAGAGTTAGCTTTCCTTCTGATCTCTGCATTCCTTTGTGATGATTTATTGCCGCTTGACATAGCTCCCAGACTTCCACCGATTTTTGCCCTGCCAAGCCAGCCTTTTTTTAGACACAAATTTTAATATAATCACAGACAAATCATGGAAACAACCTGAGAAACATAAATACCCATTTAAAGTATGTGCCCCCCTGCTAACTTTGGCTCTTTAAGTAGGTTGAAGCAGAGCAGTAGTGTGCTTTATCTTCTGTGGCCTGGATTTTAAAGACAAAATCTGAGACTGAAACACTGCCCTTAATGTGTGATACATCACAAAAAAACACTTAGTTGGAAAAGGCCTCGCACTAGCGAGGATAACAGTTATGCAATCTGGTAGACGAGGCCACTTCAGTTCACCCTGACTCGGAGGTGCGGATTACACAGGGCAGTCTTTAACTTAAAAACAGGCAAAACTGCATTTTTTTCCTCTTGTTAAAAAAAAAAAAAAAAACCAAAACATCATTGTTTTTGTCACATTGATTCCTGAACACAGTGCTGTTGTTGAGTTTGGGCTGCTGAAGATAATGACCTTTATCGCTCCCGCTTTTTCACAGCTGCAATAGTCACACATACACTCATATTAGGACTATATCTACAGGCAACCATTACAATAAAAACATTGTGGAGAGATGCAAAGAACTTGGCCTCTCATCTGAAAAAGAAAAACTCTGAATAAGTTGGTAAATACAGAGATGCCAATTGTTTGGACTCGTCCATATTTTCTTAAGGGACACTTGTCAAATGTTCCGATGTTACGGGTAAGTCATATGTTCCAGAGTTTAACGACCGAGTAGTTATTAGATACTTCAGATGTGAGTATCGTGGCTTGTGATCAGCTGACAAGATTTGGATTCTTGTGACGTAATCGCGTTTGCTGACCATGTTTTTAAGAGGGCCTGACAGTGCGGGCTGCTTCATCAGCTACGCCAGGCTAGTTAGCGCTGCTAACATAGCATACGCGACTGCACCAAAGTCACTCATCATTGCCCCCATAGCGGCAGATAAGCCACATTTCTGATAATATTTGAAAAAGCAGGACAAGTAATCATTAACAGGAGAAGACTGCTAACTAGGCATGGGTATCATGAAGATTTTAACGATACTATTATTCTTCACGATGCTACTTATCAATCTGGTACTTTAACTGTATTTTATCGGTGCTCTTTTTGAAAAACACTAGAACAAATTACAATTGCGTAAGCAGAATGCAGATTTGGTGGTCACGTCAGGTGTAGGAGGAGTTTGGTGCGGCCATTGAAAAAGACTTCACGATGGCTTTGAGGTCATTTTGGTACTCCATCCGGCGTCTTAGTAGGGGTGAAGCAGTGCACCTTTTAAGACTGTTAACTCATTCACTCCCAAAGACGTTTTTAAACGTCTTTTCAGACTTGATCCAGAATTGGCTGCTACTGAATGAGTTTTAATAGTGGGGATGGAGTGCTGCTGACCTTGACAACAAGATGTTGTGAGTCAGTGGGGAGAATAATATGAAGACCTCCGCAATCCCAGCAACAGGTCGAAGTTTGAGGAGGCAGAGAGTCTGGCGAGGGAAGGCCATCCTTCTCCGATTGGTCATGGTCTCAGAGCTGGAGGTGCTTATTCTCCTCCCACCTGCTTCACACTTGGCTGCGAACCGCACCAGTGAGAGTTGGAGATCACAGCTTGATGAAGCAGCAGAACCACACCAAGCAGAAAAAGAGATGTCATAAATACTGAGGTCACCAAGCCGGAGATCCCCTCAACGCCTCGGCGACACTGAGAAATTTCTGCTCATAAAGGTTATAAACAGAATCAGTGGAACTTCACCCAACCAGTCTCGATGTGTTTTTGTGGACTTACTCGTCCGGCTGCCATTCCAAGCACCACTGTATTTATTAGTTTGGACACCCTGACCAAACTTGTAGTCTTCATCATGTCTTTTTCTGTCAGCAACAATATTTTTTCACGATAGGAGGAAAGATTATAAGCATTTAAACACGGTTAATTTGCAGTCAGGGTGACTAGTCACATTTTCCCTAGAAGCATATTGTAAATATTTTACCATGTCTTGAGAGAAAAGCACGAAAGGAAGAATGCCGTCTTTGGCCAAAACACATTTTCCGGGCTTTTTAGGTAATTATTTGATTAGGGGAGCTCAGACCATTTTGGTTCTTCATGGGTTGAAGAGAAAGGGGGTGAGAAACTCAGAAAGTAAAGATGCAGATGTTGCATAACGAAAGAAACCAACCGTCCTCATGTAATAAATTCTGCGGCATGTTTTCAAACTGGCAATGTGCGTCCCACATAAAATATCGGGGTTTAAATGAATAGCGAGCGATACAGACCCTACCAACGCCAGTCTGGCACAATGTATTTTGTGTTTTTTCAACGAATTAGTTCCACCATCTTCATTAGACCATTCTACATCCTTCTACTAAATGTCTTAGTAGCTGACCGGGTTCATTTTATACCATGCTTCACAGAGACAAACAGAATAACACATAACACATCAACAGATAGGCAAGTGAAAACATAACATCCTTAGAGTGGTTGATGCTTTCTTATCATAACAGTTTTTGTTTTAAATAAATAAAAATGAATAATTACAATGAGCCAACCTAACAGCAAATGCCGAATATTGCATAACACAAGAAGCTGTAAGGTCTCCATTGCAATGCTTATACTCCTGTTCAGAGAATTTAGGGACCATGACCTGTGTGTGATTGTTTGTCGTGCAGATGTGGCCGTTCAGCAGTGTATCGGACCAGAGAGATGGCAGCTCGAGCCCTCGTTCCTTTTGTGCTGATCACCCAGGTCTCGTCAACTGTGCATTCTTTGCTTCAAGAGCTTCCTCAAGACCCTGGACCCAAAATCCAACACAATTACATCCATGGAACCCTGCTACAGGTATGCTTATGTCGATGCACAAAAGAGTTACAGAGCATTTTAGCAAAATCTTACCCTATTTTGACCTTCTCTAACCTTCTGAATGCACATGGCCAATATACAATTGTTTTTTTTAAAGAAGCATAATTGTGCCCATAAGTTTACATACCAAGGCAGAATGTGTATGATATGTACCATTTTTGAAAGGAAACATAAGTGATCAGACTCAATCAGTCACATTTATTTTGAATGAGAGAAACTATAAGGCATTTCAGAATAGCACAATCATAAAACTAAATATAGCCATAAAGAATGTACAGCGTGCACCCGCATACTCGCGACTCAGCACCCGTGGATTCACCGATTTGCAGAATCTTTGGGTTCAAAAGTGTTTTCAATGTAGATTTTTTTTGTGTCTGGGATATTATTCTTTCGGTCACACACCTCGTTACCCCAGGTGAGGGTAGGAACATACCTCAACCTGGAAATCGAGAGCTTCGCCTTTCGTGTCAGCTCCCTCTTCATTCACCACACCCACCACATCGTATATTAGAATATGTATACACACACACACACACACACACACACACACACACACACACACACACACACACACACACACTTGTTTGGTGGTGCATATGAAAACAGCAAACTGGGGATGTTGTTTTTTTTTTTTACAGAGAACAGTAAGGCTTTCCAAATCTCTTTTTTCCTGCTTTATTAGTTTCCCCCCCCCCTTTATTTATTTATTTATTTACTTACTTACTTACTTACTTACTTACCTAATTGGCTTTTTTAGATTTTATGTGCATGTCGATTTATGCCGTAGTGCATATGTTTTACTGGACCAAACCATGAATTGAGATACAATTATTTGCTTGAGCACAAGTGCGTTTTTGTGCGCATGTCCATGCATGCTCACTGCATCATGTGGTTCAGTCTGTGGTTGCGGCAGTCGGAGGGACCGCAAGGCAGGCTGATAACAGAGTCTGAATGGAGCTCACTTCCACCACCACTATTTTTACCAGGCCAAAATACGGATTAAGGCTCTTTGCAGCACAGATTCACATACAGAAATACACACATACAAGTACTTTGTATTGTAAGTTACTGGAGAAAAGCGTGCAACATGTTTTTTTTTTTCCTAATTAATACACATTATTTACCTTCAATAATGGGCACATGTTTAATTGATGAAACATACACGTGTCAAATATATCAGTTGTATTAGATGATCTCATTTGCAACAACTGCATTTTTCCGGCCTTTTGGAGCCTGTTTGCCACAGATTTGACCATTTTATTACTTTCTGTAGTACTTTTGACTTAGATGTCATTTTTTCTGATATAAATAGTACAATTGGCAAGACATGGACATTGTAATGTACTGGTGTAATTGTATTAAATATCCGGTATCCTGTCTTTCTCCTCCCTTTGGTAGCAGTTACGTTCTGTACATCATTTTTTAAGGAGGAACAAGGAGGCTGCATTTTCTCTGAAAAAACTTCCTACTTTCTAATCTGGACTGAGCCAGTTAAAACTCCAATGCTTGGACTTTCCAGCCCGGTCAATAAATTGAACTAGGAAGTTTGAATACAATGAAGATGAACACATGCCTTCCTGTGACATTGCTTCATATGATTGGCAATACTTTTCAAATATGTAAACAAAGAATCACCAGTTGTTTTTATGTCAGATTTTTACTCCATATATAGTACTTTGTATGCAGCGATGGTTGTTTTTAAAGTGGTCTATAAACAAAGTTGAGTTGAGTCATAGCCCGTGTAATGTGACATCCTCAACGATTGGTTGTCAGGCATCTGGGATGCTTCACGACCACGACACTTAAAGGCTGGCATGTCTGGATTTCTGTTCATCTTGCCACATAGTTTGGCAGGTCCCGTGTTGTGCTACGATTGGTAAACACCAGTCACTCTCTGATCAGCACGTTCTCGCTCTCTGTTCTGCCCGAGAGATAGTCCAGGTCCATGCAGGAGCTTGGCATTAATTGCAGCTCTACTTCACTCAACCTGTTGGGACTTTGTAAGCTTGAATGTACCGGACTGAGACTCCAAATGTTTATTCAAATTTGGTGTTTTTTTTTTTTTTTTTTTTTTTTTAAAGATAGATAACACATTGTCGACAATCCGGGAGTGTTTAACCAACTTTAGTATTTTCATCTTTATTGTCATGAACTCAATGTAGAGACTACGTCTGTAGTTCTTCATTGACATGTATATGTGATATTTCACTGTGCTGAAAACATGATCTGTTTGTTTGTTGTTTGCCTGTTGGTAAATAAGAAGGGGGTGTTTTCCACTTTTATTTCTTATTTAACTCCTATGTTTCTCGCATGTGTAAACCATGCATGTACCAGACCATGGCTGAATTTGGTGCGGTGATCGACGACTTGCGTTTCATATTACTCACTTCTGCAGCCTAGTGGTAATTGTCTGCTATTGGCTTTCCAGAAGATAGCTATTCTAAAGTTAACAATAATAATTAATAAAGCATCATCTTTGAATTGTAGCTTTAATCCAACTGCTATATTTGATACTGTATAGTAACACATGAGATTATGAGATACTCGTAATAGCACCGATCATTGAGTATGCGTTACCAGCATCACTGATTAGGACAAATAAATGAAATTTCGTTTACAGGTCTAACATGAGTAAATGTACAAATAAAATCTGAAGAACTCATACAAAAAAAAAAGTACAGTAAATATACAGGATGTTGACCATTTTGTTTTGAATCAGCCATTCCATGGTCAATTCCACCATTTTGTGGGGTCCGTCTATGATGAATGTGTCCTGTAGATGTTGTGCGATTGATACCAAAATTGAATTACGTGTGCTGAAGGGGAAAAGTTTCTGTCACCTTCCTTGGTGACTTTCAAATTCTGACTGGCACACAATACAAAGATGAAACATGCCTTTTAGTTTATTTATGACTTAGATCAAGCATGGTGGCAAAAATAGGACTCAAAATATTTTGGACTAAGATTCAAAAGTTCAGAGGTTCTCCAAATTGCATTCGAAAGTGGCATTGCTCATTTGTGACCGTTTGAATTTTTTTTTCCTGGCCAAGTGTCTGTCATATGTTGTTCGATCAGAACAAACATCAATAGCCGGGTTTACCAAACGGAATGAAAATGCTCCATATAAACACCTCAGTCTGAATACAAAGGTCGAATCCAAATGGAATTTCATTCAGATTCACAGGGGTGGTTCATTACTCTTGCCATTTCCGAACGATTGTCAAGTAAACAGTTCATCAGAATAGCCAAACTGTGTCCGGTTTCATTCATAGTGAAAACGTTTTTGAAATGGTTCATCATATCTTGGTATCATCTATGTATTTATTCATTTCCATCACAAAAGCCTTGTATTTGAACAGGTTTGTGTCGACTGTAGCTTGCAAGACATTAGCCATCCCCGAGTAGTACATTTTCAATATTGGAGAGCATTTGAATGGTTCCATATTTAGTTTGGGATTCCGTTTGACACTGGCTCCTTGAAGAGAAAAGACCTTTATACAATGACAGCAGAAGAAAGAGGGTCCAAGTACTCTGCAGGCTGTTTTTGTGCACCAGTGGGTGTTGCCTTGGTGTGGAGACTGCAGGAGAACAGAAGGGGAAGACCAGGCTCAGTGCTACGTGGTCAGCCTGGTTTTTCCCCACGTTGCCTTCCTTGCATAGTGTAATGAATGGCTTCCTATTTGTCTGTGGCCATGGCCCAGACCTAAAGAGTATACTTACCAAGGCCCAGAATACACACCCCAGCCAGTCAGCCACCCAGCCAGTCAGCTAGTTAGCCAGCGTTCTGGCTTTTGAACACTCCCAACCACGAGGGCATCACACACTGTCACGAAATTTGAGCATTCTATTTTATGTATGAAATGTGTTCACACATTTTAGCAATACATCACGATAGCATGAAATAACACATCACCATTGTTAGCACCGTCTTAGGATAATTATGATGTATTGTGTCGTTGAATTTGAAGTCGTAGATGAGATGGCAAATAATACAGTATATAAAGAGCTCTTTTCCAAAACGAGATGAAAGCCAAATTTGACAAATACGGATCTTGCTATGCCACTTGCATAGAGACTCTTTTCTTTTGTTGAACATGTTTTATGCTGAGCCAATGAATGGTTAAACATGATGTACGTCATAAGATCAGTGTTCGGGAGACGATCAGTTTATTTTTTTCGCTGGTCTCCAACAAATTTTAATCAGAGATTTATCCCTAAACATCCCTAAACATTTTTGCTGCTAATTCCAAATACGTTTTTGCTTTTTTTCTAGCACATTACGTTTTACAGATATTTTCATTTTAAATTTTTATGTTTCACCGATAAAAGCTTGTGCAATCCGCATTTTACCATGCATTCTAATTAATAGCCATGATGTTGCAGAAAACAATTCCACCTGTTGCTGAACCTAACTCTGAATTCATACATATTCATAAATATATTGCCATATTCTATATAGTATTATAGTTGTTGTTATGGAAACCACATGTGCTTGAGAATAAACAAGTGCAGATTCAGAATCAGCGCAACTAGAGTCATCAATCTAGAATGTAAATGACAAATTTACGGTGTTTTTATTCGTAGCCTTGTCCTAGTTCTTATCAGAATGTAATGCTGCATGCTACAAGACTATGTTCATAATATCAACGTAGTCTTTCATATACTGGTCAATGTTGATTTTAGATACAGTATTGCACTTCTTTGTGTGATAGTGCAGTGCTTGTTTGGGGGTCATGTGTATGCATATACAAAATTTGACATGCATTTAAGCAATCACACTTCATATGGTATAAGCACTCACTTTTAATACCACACTCTCACCCTGAGATAACGAGTAAATGCTCAGTGTTACCTAATGAAGTATGTTTACATTGTCATTGAATGTTTTTGCAGGTGTTATTTCTGCTTCGGTCTTACCAAAGTGAGTCACACAGACCCCTGCCAGCAGGAAATGGAATCGGTGAAGCTGTCCTTCAGCGCATGTGGCTCGGCTCTCGGTAATTTTAGACACATGCACATACAGATAAGCATCCCTCAGTCCCTCCCAACTCTCCTAGCAGAAGAATAGTTCCTTGTCCCTCCAGTTGACCCCTCCCTGACCATGTCCGCTTCATGTCCTGCCGAGGCTTCAATTTCAAAGGGACTGCCTTCTCTCCGACCGGGACACCCCTCTCCCTACCCTCTACCTCTCGTCCTCTTACCCAAAATTAAGGTCTTGAGATGGGGCACAGATTGCTGCCCGGCTGCAGGTCCTCCCCCCCCTCTTTTTATTTCCTCGCTGGTTCAGTCCAGGGTTTCTGTTCTCATCTCATCAGCAGAGAACACAGGGTCACTGGGTTAGCAACAGTAGCCCTGCTAGCTCCGCTTGGTTACACTGATGAGTCTTAATTAGGATGACAAGGTGAATTCTTGCTTACCAAAGCAGCTGGCTTTTTATTTGTTCATGCAGCCAGAACCAATAACCCACTGATTTAAACAAACGCCCACAAAAGAACTGCACCCAGCTTGATACGTCTCTCCCTGCTACATGTCAGGTTAGCCTGCCATGTTCATCACGTGACGGGTTAAATGCAGCCGACAAATATTGGAAGGCATGTAAAAGTGTGAACAAATGGCCAAACATCTGATTATTTTTCCTAAAAAATATTTATATGAGTGTATTTTGACCTCACTCCATCACCTTCACCAAGTGTGAGTCAGGTCATGAGCCATACTGACATGATGAAGATTGTTTGGCCACTATGGAGTCATATTATAGGCTTGATTTACATTGCCGGTCTTCCGATTTATGCCCATATCGTATGGACAATTTTGTTGACATCCTTTTTACACCAAATATTTTTTGGTAGTGTCCTACATCCAGTGTCACTTTGTTTACATATGTAGTTTGAACACCTGGTTCAACCAGCATCTGCACACAGCCAAAAAGCATACACAGTTAACAACTAAATGTGTCAATAATGGGCAGCAGCAACACACAAGTTAACTGTAAATAATTCAAATATTAAATATGAATACAGTCTAGTTGTCCTGGTCTGACTCTTCCCACCCCTGAGTGAAATAAATAAATGATTTGTCAGGATTATGTTGACATTATATTGCTGCTGCAAATGCTTAGGCAGATAGCAAATTCATATCAGATGTTATCCATATTCAGAAGCCTCATCCTGGAACTTCAATTCGAGGATATCCAATTTCATGTACTTGTTTTTCTCTTTATGCTGCCATGACCAATATCTGAATTCGGCCACATGAGAGATAATTCTAATAAGAATTGGTCTCTTGATCCATGTAATGTGAATCCAGCCCTAGATTTTGTGATCACTGGAACCATTGATGCCGACATTACAGTTTATTAGCTTGAATTGACCTCAAAATCGCTCTTGAACCTTTTTTTTGCAAGGTTACTCAGCTAACATCCACACTCCTTCCATGCTCCCATCACGATTATCGTGTCTGTGCATGTGCGCATGCATGTTTGTTTAATATCTGCTTGTTGAAAAGATGACATTGAGCTCACACAGTCTCCTTTGTCCTCACACAATTGTAGGCTTTCATAGTGGGCATAGTCTTAATTGAGGCTGCACATAAAGTGAACATACACTGCCCACACAAGCTGCTAAAGCTAAACACTGATGAGGCAGCTATATATTTAATTCTGTATAACTCTGGTATCTGCTTGAGGGTGTGCATTTATACTTTTTATTACTCATATATGAGGTTGTTTAGCTCGGGCATCTCATGTGACTAGCAAGCCACGATTTGCTGCAGTCCTATGACCCATTAACAGTAGCAATGCTTTGCTCGGTTTTTGTTTTAGGCTTAGCTCTGATGCGTTGCATTTGAGGAGATATGTTTCGTTCAACTCAGGAGATCACAGGATTTAATTTCTATTAATATCTGTCACAACATGATATCTCACGATTTATTTGGCTGTGTGATTCACACACGGACAAACTTTTTAGTACCCTTCTTAATGAACGAAAACCCAAATTGGTCAAAAAAGCCCTGGAATCTGACAAAAGTCATAAATAAAATATTATAATAATGAAAATTAACAATTGACAATCAGATTGCTTGTAAATGGGGAAAATATTGTAACAAAATCATCTTTATTGTAATTTATCATCAATAATTTGACCAGTGCGACATGGTCAACCTAGGTGTGCCCTCTAATGAGCATCATCGGTGTCTTCAAACTTGTGATCAGTCAATTGGCCTATTAAACTGTGACATGTAGTCATTGTGCTGTTTGGTGATATGGTATGTAGCACACTAAACATGGACCAGAGGAAGCAAATGAGAGAATTTTCTCAGAGTAGAAAACTTTTTAGACAAGCATGGGCAAAAGTAAAGGCTATGTGTCCATATCCAAGCGGTTTGATGCTCCTCCGACTTCAATTGCACATCAACGGGAATGCAGCCAACCTCCCTGGATATGGTTGTATGAGGAAAATTGAAACGAAAATTGCTTGTCAATTTAAAAGGACAAGAAAATCCAACACACGACGAATGAAAACCAAGAACACATCCGGAAAATACTAGAACAAAAGTATTACGAACTAATGAGGCAAGGCTATGTGCCAAAAAAGTGTCAAGAATGTCGAGAACATTCGGCACTTGGCGACAGTGAGCAAGGCTAATAATCTGACATTTGTTGGCGTGGCCTGGCTTTTAAAGCAGGCAGGTAACCAGACAAGATTCGAGACGTGTGACTTGTTAGGTAACGGCCACTCATCAACTGGCGAATGAAACAAAAAGCAAACAAGATAGGATCATGACATTTTCATTAGTTTGTATTTTGAAATACTTCTCTTGAAGCACAATTAAATATTCAATGGTGCATTTGAATAACATTTTCATTTATTATTACTTTTGAAAAAAATGTCCTTTGTCATATTCAAGTGACTGTATTTTTTTTTTACCACTGTGGGTCTTTCTTTCATTTACAAACGGGTGCCAAGAGTTTTGTCCATCTGTGTATTTAATCAAATGTGTTGGATTTAGCTAAATTCAAATGAACACCTGATCTAAAAATGTGTTTTAATCACATTGTATTGTACTCACAGCAGTGACACCAGTTGCAAGGATAAAACAAAAAATAATCGCTCATTTCTCTTTTTCCTCTTCTCATTTAAGAAAGAATACCTGTGTGGTCACCAGAGGAGCCTTTCTGGATGTGTTGGTCTGTCTGTGTGGGCCAAAGATTAGTCTTCTGTGTGGTGAGTAAACCTAGACACAATATAGTATATCTTCACTATGAGCCACAGTACCATGAAAATGTATATAACTATATACAAGGGGTGGAACAATCTTTGAAAACCGATAAAACCGATCGTTTCAACCATTTCGGTTCGGCTGGCGTCCATGGTTACGGCAGCGTGTAACGACATCTGCGTTTATCCTTCCAGCGAGGTGGTAGACAGTCATGACAATCATATTGCAGTGAAGCAGATCCAGCCTCAGAGGCCAATTTATGTTGTGGCGCTCTCTCTCTCTCTCTCTCTCTCTCGCTCTCTCTCTCTCTCTCTCTCTCTCGCTCTCTCTCTCTCTCTCTCTCTCTCGCTCTCTCTCTCTCTCTCTCTCTCTCGCTCTCTCTCTCTCTCTCTCTCTCTCGCTCTCTCTCTCTCTCTCTCTCTCTCGCTCTCTCTCTCTCTCTCTCTCTCTCGCTCTCTCTCTCTCTCTCTCTCTCTCGCTCTCTCTCTCTCTCTCTCTCTCTCGCTCTCTCTCTCTCTCTCTCTCTCTCGCTCTCTCTCTCTCTCTCTCTCTCTCGCTCTCTCTCTCTCTCTCTCTCTCTCGCTCTCTCTCTCTCTCTCTCTCTCTCGCTCTCTCTCTCTCTCTCTCTCTCTCGCTCTCTCTCTCTCTCTCTCTCTCTCGCTCTCTCTCTCTCTCTCTCTCTCTCTATATATATATGTATAATGAGCAAGTAACGTACGACATGCACGAGCTGAGCTCATTCACACCGGTAATTGTCATTCAGGTAGCGGTAGTGGGAGGGGGAGATAGAGACAGAGGAGATGTATAAAGAGAGAGTCTCATCCCGTCACAGTAATATTGCTACATGTTGCGGAAAGTGGGGAGTATATATTTTTTATCTTATTTAGTTGCTTAATGAAACTTTTTGCGTTTCGTTCAGACTAGTTTTGCTGATGTCATCTTGTCAAAGTGTTGTATATGAGCTTAATTAACAACAACTGTGTTCCCATCCGTTTGCTGTGAATCGAAACAGATGACCCCACATTTGCTGACAAGGCTGTGCGCGGCACTCTCCCTCTAGACCGACTGTTAACAGAAGTCATACCCCAAACCATTCGGAGAAGCGCCCTGCTATGTGTCTTTGTGGATTTGTAATTGTGTATCTGTGTGTACTCAGTGGGGGTCTCCTCAGGAGGAATGTGAAACCAACAGCACGCAATCTCAGACAGATGGTGGGTTTGTGCCTTTGACCCAGTTTATTGAGTGCTTGGAAAAAAAAGAGAGGCGAGGAGAGGGTGAGGAACTTATGTTTTCAGTCAGCCATGTGCTGAACACATGCTTGCATTTGACAGTGGAAATATCGAGGATTTCTTAAAACAAGCCAGTAGATTCAGAACCAGGCTTAGCATGATGTAGCCCTTTACATAACAAAACAAGCACCTTCTCTCTTACTTAAACGCCTACTAATGACTCTTCTTAGTCTGCTTTCACTTCATTTCATTACTTTTGTTCTGTTCTCTGCTAAAGGTGGAGTCCTGATCTGCTTTTATAATTCTCTCGTTTAAAAATTATCCTTATGCATTCCTTGCCATCCAGTTCATTATATGTTCTACCTAAAACGTAAAAACAAGCGTTAAAAAAAAAAAAATTAAATCAAGCAACATTTTTTTTTTTAATGTGCAGCTTTATTTTTTGGCATTTTTCTTTTCCTCATGACGATTTCAGCTATCCAATGATTTTACCTCGGGTTTTCCTTGCCACTTAACCAATGTCAGCTTTGTGTTATAATAATTATACGCTTTCTCAACTTCCTTTGCCTCCACAATTCGCCTAAGTTTTAAAATTGATGAAACACACTCACATTATGAAAGAAAATCTTTCATTCACCGTTCTTCTGCTTTGTTTTTGACGTATCACTGTGGCATGGCACCACAACCGCAGTTAAAAAAGACACCCAACTTAGTGCAGCGCTGGTCAAATAACAGATTTCATTATGTCAGTGTTTTTAGACCAGGAGGCAGCCCAAAATAAGGCGGAGGCGCCCATCTCCAGTTTTATACGCAGGAAACCTTATCCAGGTCTTACCGTTGTCTGGAGAAAGGCTTAGAACAAAACCTTTTACTTCTCCCTCTTTTTTTTTTTTTTTTTTAATTCAAGCCTGGCACTATCTCAAATTTTACATTAAGTCAACAAGATACGTGTAAATATGGCTCAAACGGAGGTTAGAAACACTCATTTAGATCTATAAATGTGAAAAGCCTTCAATTTAAGGGCTCAAAACGACAACGGCATCATGCTTTCATCATGTGCTTTTGAGAAATTATTTGAACCTGAATCTGTTTCTGGCCTGAGATGGACTAAATACAACTACTCAATGGAATTTGTAGAATTTTTTTTTTTTTGTAAATATCCTTATACTGAGCTTGTTTGACAGTAGCAAAACACCAATAAAACATGTTCCCATAATTAGACCTTTATCAACCACAGCACATGTGATTGATATCCATCGCTGACAGCTTGCTAAACCTTGTTTTACGCCATAATTGGCTATTTTCACTCATCGTCGAACTTGAAGATGTGCTTTTATTGCCCTAAATCTGCACCAGCGACTCCAAATCACCACTCTCTGCTTCAAAAAAATGTATGCAACCTCTGAAACGGGCCGCAAGTTTCCTCGATGCAAGGATTCTCATTTCTCTAAGCTTGTGACTCAAGAGCTATATTGCATCGCAGTGCATAGGTCACTGGTGTCAAAGTCAAGGCACGGGGGCCGGATCTGGCCCGCCACATCATGTTATGTGGTCCGCCAAAGCAAATCGAGCATGTCAACTTTCATCATGCTTGGTAAAGTCTGAACCAAAATTTCACATTTTCAAATGTAATCCATAATAATTTAGAGATAGTTCAAGAATGTTCTCGTAACCAAACGCCTCTGAAGTCAATGCATGGTTGTAGGGTCTTGTCTTTTTTTGTCCACAAAGAAAAATCCAGACCCAGGAGGAGAGGTGCCTTAAAGGCGGAGTGTGTTGAACAAATGGTTGGAGCGTGTTGAACAAAATGACTATATAGCCAACTATTATTTAATTCTGTTGTCAGGAAGTACTTGCAAACACACACACACACACACACACACACACACACACACACACACACACACACACACACACACACACACAGACACACAGAGTATCTGGGGTTTGTTTTTCACAGTTTGGCTAATGATGGTGGAAGTTGATGTGAAATCCTGCTGCGTGCTGGCATGTAAGAGCATGTGCACATGTCTAGCCAAGGTTCCAGCTCCACACAGCTAAGCCCCTTTACTGCCTATTTTTACAGGGCTGTGGACACATGTACAACTTCTTACAACTTTACACATTTTCCTTCTGTTGTAATTACCTTCTGACAAACCAAACACTTCATCTTTATGTACATCAGTCATGGCGGCCACAGTTGGCATTCATGCTGATGCACTGTAACGTGTTCAAAGACCACTCCTGATTTTAATGCATTTGCACCAGCTGTAATAAGAGTCAATATGTTCTCAGGTAGCCCATTCATTCATCCAGCCTATTCATGTGAAGATGATATCTCCGGAATGTCATGAAGGAATTTCATTACATCTGCCACAAGTATCCACTTGCACACAAAGATGACGAGAATAAAAGTTATCGGGCACACTTTTTGACTACACTGATAGAATCTTCACACAAATAACGATTAAAATAAGATGAAGCATACGGCGACTGAACAACACAAGAAAAGTACTGTATGATTTATTTATTTTTAGAAACAAGGTCTACATTAGGAAATAGTTTGATGGATGCTTCCTATGAACTCCAGACATTGTGGGGGCTGTGGTAGAGTCAAAGCAGATCTATTCTAAAGGCGTTAAGTCAGGAGCCTTCATTGGCAAATGAATGGTGAAAGAGTGACAAGATGGACGCATACATAATTTGGGTTTGCGGGGCATGCCGGTCTTGGCTGTGGGATAAGGCTGAACGCTGTGTGCGACGTGTCAGTCTGACATCAGACGAGTCACAATAGTGTCAGATAAATCTGTTGGACTTAGAGACTTTACTGCCTCAAGGTGATGGTTGCGTTGGCATATGGGGAAGGGATGCAGATTGCATGCTTATTAAATCTTCTGTAGTTTGATGTTTGCATTGTAGGTGGTGGAAAGTTACAGTATATAAGCATATGATAGTGAACAGACTGTTAATGTGGAACCTTGAACATACTCACTGCCTGTTAAAAAAACAGAATCTTTTTTAAATAGCTGTGAAAAGAAGTACTTGTGCCCGATCAGGTTGGGATCCAAGTGTGGTGAACTGATACTTATGGATGATGCACACCATTGCTGATCATTTATTGGTCCAGCAGATTCATCGCCATCAACATTATAACTTTAACACAGACAAAAATAAACACACATTGATACATGAGCATGGATGAGTTTTTCATCAAATAACAGGATAGGTTCCGAAAAATAGCCATGATGAGGTGGATTTGTGACGGTTGAACTACAAATAAAATAAATAAATAAAATCTGTAAAAAAGCTTTGGGAACACAAAGGCTATTTATGATCAGATATAAAAAAAAAAAATCACATGACAATTGCCACTGGCGTAGTTTACTTGTACAGCCCAGAATATTTGGATAAATACCATTATAAAGCCAACGTCCTGGCGACAGTTCTTTTTCTGTATTTACTTCCGCTGCAGTGCAGCACATGAAGTCTTTTTACTTGTCATGGCAGTTACTTTGTATTGAAGAGCAGTACATGAAATGTGCTTTTATGCAACATGGCAGGCAGCACTATTTACATATGACATATCTACCTCAGTCATCCTCCCCACTCACCTACCTCCCTTCATCATTGGTGTCATTACTGTCTTCCTCCCCACCATTATATCCATTAGACTATGCCTGTTTGGCCCTGGACCCCCTTTTGAGGATCAGGTTCCATAGTAACCTGGCCTGTCTCCACAGTAAACCAGCCCATCTCTGCAGGAATGCTGCATTTCCCGCTCTTTTGTCAGGTCACATTTTGACTTGTTCTGCAGGGCCGGATTGAATTGCATTGGGTTCAGTGTGTGTGCCCACATGGGTTAGACTTGGCTGTCAAAGCAGAATCTGTGTGGCGTTTGGAGAATTACTGTAGGCAGGAGTGCAGCTTTTGAATCGTGTCACGTTACTATAATGCTGACGCGCCTCAAAATTTGACTTGCATTTCAGAGGAAATACAGCTTTGTGTGCGCCAATGTGTGTTTATTTGTGTGGCCATCAATTCCCATATGTGTAAATTCGCAGGTGGCTGGGTTGGCACAGACATGTCCATACCCAAACAGACTGACGCAACCTTTCCTGTTTAAAAAAAAAAAAAAAAACAACAACCCAGGAAAGGCACAAAGAACTGTCTTCTTTCTTCTTCGGGGTGGCTTGTTGTCTATCTCTGGAGACTTCACAAAGTGATTTGTATGTTTTTTAAGCAGTTAAAGTTATTGGTGTGAATTCAAATCTATCATTTAAATGTCTTCATAAAATCCTGCTATCCTTTTGGTTTTAAAGATGCATGTTATTTGTTAGGGGTGTCAAAGTATCGTCCGATATCAGCCAAAAAAAAAAAAAAAAAAAACAAACAGTAGAGGATTACTTTGGTCTACATTCAAAATCTTATATACCAGCAGTAATATTCAGGCTCTCCATTCTCCACTCTTCACTTTGCAGACTGAGACAGTGGACAATTTTGTGTCGGTTATTTTATTTTTGTCCAGGCGTCTGTTGTGCCCACTTTTGGAGTATTCGTATAGTCTTGCAAACTAAACAACCATCAAACAGTAAACACAACCTTGCCTAGTTCAAGTTGGTTACATGAACTAAAAACCGTCCCCTCCCATGTCTATTAGATTCAGAGGTCAACAAGCTCCGTCAAGAGACATTGTCCCTCCTGTTGATCTCAACCCTGTTTGCCGACAACAGCCCCATGTCCAACCTGGAGCCCGGCAGCATCCAGTACATGCTGAGCTTGACCAGGATAGCCCTCAGTGCCAGCGTAGATATCCCTGAGCTTTGGGGGAGGCAGCCGCTCACCACTCAGCTCCTGGAGCGTCTGCTAAAGTGCCCAGAGTATGAGGTGAGGGAGTTGGTCCTGGAGAGGGTCCTAATGAGACTGAAAGAGGAGGAAGACCAGAAGAGGACACCTGCATGGCTAAATGAGACCACCCTGTTTACCCTAACAAGCCTGGCTCTTCATGAAGGACACCCCCAGTGTCTGGCCAAGGTGAGGCCACACACTCGCACATATACACACAAACAGTAAATGTGTTTGTTTTGTTTCCAGCCCATTTGAAAGAGTTGTGTGTGCATGTGAGTTGTCCACTGCTCATCTCTGACCACGAAGCTTTGAACTACAAACTTGGGTGGAGAACTCTGCAAAACTATCATTTCCACTGAACCACAATGACATTTAAGTGCAAGTTGATTGAATTTTCAATTCCATTCTACAGAGGCTTGCGTGAGACGCTAATCAGCCAAAGGAGAATACGTCAAGCACACTGTCAGAAAGCTGACTCATTCAGTCTTTGCCTCACTGACACACTCAAGGAAGGTTTGCGAGGCTTCCACTCTAACAGCTTTAAGATGGGGAAAATGCAGCCTATTTCCTGTTTCAAAACTAGGTCATATTTCATTGTGTTCATGAACATGGGACAGCTTGCCATCAGATCTGCCGTTCCCCTGCTAGGTGGCTTCCGTCTATCAACGACACAGTTCACGACTGCAAGGATTAGTTTTCACGCTTTTATCCTGTATTTTTGAAGGGTTTAAGTTTCACCTGTTGGTGAGAATGTGATTTGTTTTTTTCGCTGCTTTATAGCCAATTGTTTTTTTCTTTTTAAGTGTCATGTCTGTTTAGTGAACCCTTGTGGACCCTTGCTTGTGCAAAAGACATGCCACACCAATGGGTCATTTGTCATTGTCAAGTATAGAATAGTATTTACCAGAGCAGTGTTACAAAAAAATAGATATACAGCATACTGTATGTTTAGCGAAACCGCTTTGGGGCATTTTGCCTCGTAAACTATTCAGTGTGTTACACTAGCCACATTAAATAGTGCTCCTTCGAGAGTACCACAATCATAACTATTACAATCATTATTGTAACTAACTCATCTAAAATTTGTGAGCCTGTCTTGGGTCTGCAACGGGTTCTTGTCACAGTGGGACGTGCCCAGAACACCTCACCAGCGAGATGCCCAGGAGGCATCCTGACCAGAAGGCCAGTTCGCCTCCTCGATTCAGAGGAGCAGCAGATTTACTCCCTGAGCTCCGAGGATGGCCGAGCTTCTGAACATATTTCAAATGGAGCGCCCAGAAATCCCGGAGAGCAAACTCAGTTAGGCTACTTGTGTCTGTGATTTTGTTGTTTTTGTCACAACACACACCTTGTGACCATAGGTACAAAGTACGAGTGGGGAATTGAAGGCTGAGCCTTCACCTCTGCATTTACCTGGAGAGGGCACTCCACCCTGTTTTGACTTCCGACCACAATTGCAGACTTGCAGAAGCATTGTCCATGCAATGTCGCACAGTTGTCATACAAGCCAGCCCCATAAAATCCAGAGCCATAAGAAACTCCAGATGGGTCTCATTCACCCATGGGGCCCTGCCACCAAGGAGTTTTTTTGAAAACCTCAGGGACCTCAACAACAGAGGTGGGAAAGACCTCCAGGCTATGCTTCCACATTCCTCACCCCACCAAGCCACAACGTCCCAAGTTGAGTTTGACGACGCCCCATCCCTCAGGATGGACCAGAATTTCCCTGAGGCAGTCTGGAAGTTGTTTTCCATAGCTTCACCGAACTCCAACGATGCCTACGTTTTTACTTCAGCTATACCACCAAAGCCATATTTCACTTGTTCTGCCGGTAAGCCTACTGTCCAAAATGCACGGCAGTCCAGACCGTCGGTGTCCACTAACAGTTTTGGGGATTACCACAAGGATAAGCACCAGTCACCTTATAGTCACAGCTCCGGCCGGCCGCCTCGAAAATGGTGTCACCGAACATAGACCACTCAGATTTAATGTCTTGCACCTTCCCTGGGATGTTTTTAAAGTTCTGCCGGAGGTCGGAATTAAAATTCTTTGACACTCAATTAGGCAGTATTCCCACAAAGAGGTTTGCCCAGCTACTATGTTTTTTTTTTTTACTGTTTCTTTTGAAGCATGTACAAATATACAAGGGCATACTCAAGCTCACATACAAATGTTTACATGCATTGCCGTCACCCCTGCACCCCATGCTCCACCCACACAAATTTTTCAAGATAATGTTTATTTTAAAGACCAAATAACGCATAGGGGCCTTCTCGGGAAAATAATCAATGAGATATGCTGGTGAAATGTCAACAACAGTTCTCTGCGGGATTTGTTTTGTAATGGGGGTTTCACTTGGCGGAAAATAATGTCTTTCCTCCTCTGGCAAAGAAAACAGTGCGTGAAAAAATAGGGGCTGAGGGTGGGAAGAAGGGGGGGGGGTAAGACATACAAAATAAACAAGCTTTAAAATACTGGAAATGGAACTCAATGGATGCTGAGGTTTTGCACTGGCATGAATGAATAGACAATATTTTTGGGCCACTGTTAGAGAAAATGTGTCAAGTGTGCCCCTGGCTTGGATGTAATCTGGATTCTCGGACCTGCCTGGGTAAATCACAACTTGCAAGCCGCACTGAGAGAAAAGACATCCAAGCTATTTTGATCGATTGTCCAGACTAACTTCACTCACCCGTAGCTCTGATTGTGTAGGTTTGAGACAACCATGAAACCAGGGACTACATCAATATCTCCAACTTTTTCTTAAGCCCTCATCCTCCCTTCCCTTTTCTTCTCCTCAGGTGCTTCAAGTGTTGAGCGTGTTGAGCTGTAATGGTGAGCTCCACTGGATGGATTATGTCCAACATTTGTCTCAGGACAGTTTTCTGCTGCACCTCCTTACTCTGGCTCAGAGGACTGTTCACAGGTCAGGAGATGGTCATGTTAATGCATCTCAGAGGAATCATGCTTGATGAAGCAAATTTTTCAAATGTTACTGTTTTTTTAGAGGGATCCAATTTATATAAGATATTATGAGGGAAAAATGCGTGCCGTTGCACGCTTGTATGGCGGCGCAGATTCTCACATCCACTTAAGCCTGTCATTTACGCACCTTTATGCCAGATACACACTCTGGATGGTGCAACCCTAAAATGTTCCCTGTCAAATATGGGTTTCCACGCATTCTCGTGTCGACTTACACACAGTTCACGCTCCAGAGGATCTCTCCAGAGGATCAATTTTCGATTCAATTGGATGGGAGTGAGCCTGGCCTTTCAGTATGTCCACACTTTCCTCATGATTATCGCCCACGTCCTATTTCTGTGACATCTGTCTTCATTGACTGCCAACATCATTTTGTGGATTAATAAAAAGTGCTATAATGTGACATATTGTAAGGAGAACCTCAAAATGCGATCCAGGCTGAAATAATCCATATGGCCTTGAGTCCACACATTACATCGCCATGTAATGCATCAATGCGTGACAACCATCATCACTCGCCACACTTGATTTTTGCAGTCCCAAATCCTATAACACTTTGGCAGAAAGCTTTACTGTACAGTAATTGCAGTCTAAGGTTCTAGTTGAGAAGTCTTGGTCGGGATAATCGTATCAATAGTATTGTACATATCTTTAACAAGAATATTGGCACATAATTGTTCTCGTTGAGTTTTTTTCAAGTCTCAGCTACATTTTGTTTTTGTGGGTTCTTGAGTCAGAGAGACTCTTCTTACAGCAGGATATGGCTGGTCATATTGCAGTATTTGTCTATATGCGGTGACCATAATCCCTTTGACATCCACTGACAGACACACACCTCCTTGACAAGCCCCTGCTGCATAAGAAAGTGCAGGCCTTCACACAGATCAGGTTACAAAGAGTATTAGACTAATAAAGCCTTTTTCATCAAACCGAGGATCCACTTTCCCTTCCAGTGTCCTCAAGGTTATGATTAGAGGCAAGACAAGATGAGATTGGGTTGCTATTTGCCCTCATCTTCCCTACGATTGAATGGGATTCTGGCTTTTTGTGCACAAAATGTGTTGGGTGAGTACCAGCACACTTCTTTTGTGGAAAGTCAGCCAGGCTACGTGTTTGCCAAGTCACATTATCATTTTAAAAATCGATCAAAGTTGAATTACGTGGTGGCTTCACATGAAGTGCTAAAAAGTATTTAATGACTCTAGTTAGCCTTGTGCCATATAGCTAAAATTTAATGTCTTTCTATTTTTGCCAGATATATCAATAACGATATTACGATGGGTTCAGTGAAAACTATGAATCTTTTAAAAGAAAAAATATCTTGACTGCCATTAATATTATCAAAGTCAGCAATAAATTAAAAATAAATAAATTCACATTGTACTGCAACTGTGTTTTAATGATAACCACTCACCCCTATGCAAATACAATTGCTGTGTATGAATTCATGCATTACATGGCAATGTGATGTGTGGACTCCAGCAATCTCAACTATGCCTGGATTGTGTTTTGTGGGTCCCCTTACAATATGTTACTTTGTATAACTTTTTATGAATCCACAAAAAGATGGTGGCAGTCAACGAAGACCGCATTGCGACTCAAATAGGATAGCGCCTAACCAGTCCATTCAATTGAATGAGGTGCAGGTTCGTACATTTTATCCACTATTGATTTTGAAATTATATACCGTATATGGTCACCTAATGTTTTAAAAGACAATACCGTATTTTCCAAACTAAAAGGCCCACTGGATTATGAGGCACACCTTCAGTGAATGGCCTATTTTGTAATTTTTTTCATACATTGGGCGCACCGCATTATAAGTCACAATCTACAATACATCCACTAGATGGAGCTACGCTCAAGGAAACACCAACAGAACGATCAGATGTGAGTAAAACTTATTTAATAAAGCAGCGACACACATCACTTAACCAACAGCAAGTTATATCATTGACTCATTAACGCTGAACTCTCTTGCCGGTGCTCTAGTACCGTGTTCAACTGCGTAACCGATCGCCTTAAGTTTGAACTCTGCGTTGTCAGCATGTCTCGAGCAAGGAGCCAATTTGGGGTCGAAATATTACTGTAATGACCAATTTTAAGGCGCGCTGTGAGCTTTTAAGAAAATGGAAGGCTTTTAGGTGCACCTTTTAGTGCAGAAAATACAGTATGTGTGTACCGTCCGTATATACTTGACAGCGAACAGGGAAGTGGATTTCTTGCGCGTGTCCTGTTAGGCAGCAGCGGCTGCATGTGTCTCTTGCTTGCCCTGCGTGTGTGTGTGTGTGTGTGTGTGTGTGTGTGTGTGTGTTTGTGTGTGTGTGTGTGTGTGTGTGTGTGTGTGTGTCTCTTCCCTCTCTCCCCCTGCAAGATGATTGTCGCCTGCTTGTTTTAACTGTTGATCAACGCCAAAATTGGAAGGAGAATTGTGGATGGTCGAACTAAGCTTTACATGCAACACAAGCATGGCAGGCGACTGATAATATCCTTATTTCGATATTAACTCATTCAGTACCAGCCAATTCTGGACCAAGTCTGAAAAGACGTTTAAAAACGTCTTTGGGAGTGAATGAGTTGGATCATTAATGTTCATATCTCAATTTTGATACGATAAAGATATATTGTCCAGCCCTGTCTCTACTATAGTTCGAACATCCACAAACAAATGAGGGTGAAAGCCCTTATGATTCAATAATTCCTTCTGTAATGACAGAAGGGTTGTGAAGAGCAGCAGAAAACGGGTGTGTTATCTCCAACATAGGACAAGACTTAGAAGTATGCTTACTACGCTCATGTAAATTAATGTTCACTGACTGTAAAGTGTTTGTGTGTTTTAGTGTGGAGCTGTATTGTGCAGTCATGACACTGCTATCTCAACTGGTAATCCAGGTTGTAAACTCGGATCCAAAGGTAAAGTCTGATATAAAAGCATGACTGCATTCATTAATAACTGTTTTTTTTTTAACAACCAAGTACATCGTGCTGGTTTCCATGAGTTAAAGTAACCACTTAGACCAAATTAATCAAATCAACATAAGAAACGTTATAAGATAATGAAAATGTCCTTTGTGCTTTTATAAACTTCCACATAAGATCGCCATGTCATGATGATCCCTGTTGACAAAAACATGTGAAAATAGTGTTATAGTGCATATTCATAGTATCAGTCACATGCACACCCAGCTGCTTGTCCCTTTTTTTTCCCAAAAAGCTTTTTTTTTTTTTTTTTCTGAATAGGCGTTTTCTGTGTATAAGTAAATTCTCAAAATCTTGCATTTGTACAGTAGAGGGCTCCAGATTATTATGATTATTTTTATTTTTTTATTTTTTACTTGGGGTACAGTGAGCCCTAATCTGAAATTTTTGGGGTGGAAAATTTACAGGCGCACGCTATGAAAGGACTTGCGAAGTAAATCCACATTTTCACTCGTTTTCACGATTACTTATAGTGTAAATGGATCTGAAGTGTGGAGAAGTTAATATAAAATTCCACCCTTTTGGGGCAGTCTGTAGCCCTGCAGTGCCAAGTTTCAATGATGGTCACAGAAATGGTTAGATTGCAGTGATTGCCTCTGAGGTTGTGCAGCATATTATTTCGAGCTCCGATCCACCATTCGTGTTGACAGTGATGAATGACTTCCGAATGGAATTGAATGGTTACTCCTTGTACTTTTCTGAAATAAAGGCCTCATAATCCTATTTGAAAAAAAAGAAAGATAAATGGAGTGCACTTATGTCGTGCTTTATTTACACCAGACGCTGCCCAAAGGGCTTTACAAAGCCTCACAATCGCCTATTTGAAAACTTTGAATCAGAGAGTACGCTATGATGTGCTTTGAAAGCCAGCTTCTACTTCCGGGAAAGGTTTTTTTTTTTCTTCAATTTAATGGCTTTCTGTAACTAGAATATCTCACTGTACTGGGTCCTAAGGTAGAACCCAGGGTGTTTTTTGTGCATTTTTGTGCCTTAAATTCATCCATTAGCCGGTTAGTACTCCAAAGCAGCTCACCTACACACCATGCATGCGCACTCCCCACAAACATACATCACGTATTATAAGCTCCCATTACATTCAATTCTGACAATACATGCAACAATACTGCAAGATTCATTCTGATTCAACTCTGATTACAGTTCTGATTATCTGATCGCTTTTCCACGGCCACTTGAATATCACCTCCAATTCATGCACAACCCTAATGTTAAGGGTAGCATCATTTTTGTTTTCATAAGTTAGATTTTTTTTTTATTACGTTGGACCACAAAAATATAGTAATACCTGGTTTTCAATAGTTAATTTTCAGTATTTTTAAGTTATTGTTTCACGTTATTGTGACTTTTTCTGTCATTAATGGAATGGTATCAACGGTCGTTTGATTCATTGAGTGACAGCCTATTTTACATTCGTTTACATGCATGTTAATTTCCGCATGGTCCTGTCACGCAGGGTGCAAGTATGACTTGCTTATCACAGTGGGGGGCACTCGTGTGCTCATCCTGCAGTGAGGAGCAGCATGTGGAAGTTAAGATGATGGTTGCCAATGTGCTGGTGAACTCAACGGGCACGCTACTGACCAGCTCTGAGCTGCCACTTGGTGAGTTCTTAAACATGAACCAACTTGAGTAAACTCATTTGATATGGATATTGAAAGGGGTGTGAAATATTGGAAAGAAAAAAAATAATAAAACCTTCCTGTTGGGTTGTGTGTGTGTGTGTGTGTGTGTGTGTGTGTGTGGGTGTGTGTGTGTGTGTGTGTGTGTGTGTGTGTGTGCGTGCGTGCGTGCGTGCGTGCGTGCGTGCGTGTGTGTGTGTGTGTACATATGCATGTGTTTGTGTTCAGGTCTGGTCAGCACAGTGTCTCTGTGGAGCAGTCTGTTTATGCTGTTGCAGGATGAAGACCAGGAAGTTCGCAGTTCTGCCTCTGACTTCATTGCAAATGCACCAACTCATCTGATTCGTGCAGGTATTATGCACACACTCAATGTTGAAATGAAAGAACCACTTGAAAGCATTTTGTCAACAGAGACTGTGCACTTGTCAGACATTGTTCCATGTTGATTGATAAATATTGTTAGCTACTGCTGTTATAAAACAATATATGTATATGGCCGGTTGGGTCTCCAACGATAAAGTGATGGCTAGCTTGAAGCGCAGAAACATGTAGTGTGTGTGTGTGTGTGTGTGTGTGTGTGTGTGTGTGTGTGTGTGTGTGTGTGTGTGTGTGTGTGTGTGTTGGGCTGATCACCTGGATCACTTGTGCCATATAACAGATTATTGTGATTGAATATTTGCATTGTCATTAATAACGCACTCAACTTTTTTGATTTAAATGGATAGAATTATAACAGGAACATGACATGAAACGTTGACATGTCTCACGTTCGGGAAGATGCGCGGTGCATTGCAATGCATTCAGACATTTCAAACTTAAACAGGAAAAAGTCCCTCGGTGCTGTCAACGTTAATAGCTACAAATATCCAAATAACGTGGGTTTTCTATCAATCCATACAAGCTGACATAAGAAGAAAAATGATGGTGGTGAAATCACTTTGCTATGTTACTTCATTACAATCAATGGTCCATCTAGTCACTTACTGGATGTTACAATCCCTAGTGGTTGGGATGTCAAATGCTCAATATTCAATGAGATTTTTTCTCCCGAAAGGTTTAAATAATATCTTTTGATGCCCCAAGACTTTTGTAAATAGTTTTAAAAAATTCAACATGTTTTCAAAATGTAATTAGTATGATTGTAGTATTTTGTTGAACTAATCCAAATAAAACACATTTGAAGTTTTTTAGCTGTTTAATATTTTCCTTTCAAATAGTGTTGGAGGTAGATACCCAGTATTGATGAAAATACCATTCACTTGCAGCGTGTGAGTTCTGCATGTGTACTGTCTGTAGCCTGCTTGAGGTCAGACAATGTCAGATAAGCTGTTAGCTAACAATTAGACACAACCACAGAGGCCAGACAAAGATTGGGGTTTTCTTTAAAAGCGAGAGAGAACAAAATGCAAATGATTAGTTTGTCTGAGATATTCCCCCTTTTGCATTCTATATTTAGTTGCTGTTTGTACAATTTCGTGTTCGCTCTACATTTAGTCTTGGTCATGCCACTTCCAAACTCTTATATGATCCTGAAAATTTGGAATTGGATTCCAAACACGTGTGATACAAACACAAGGAATGTGGAACTATAATGTGGTCGTCTTAATTGAATGTGTGACCAGGCCAGGAAAGTCACATTCCTCCAGTAAATGAGAAAGCACCAAAAAACCCAAAAGAAAGCGCATTGTACTGTCTGTAAAATAAAAACCCACAGAAACCTTGAATTGGAAAAAATATATATATAAATAGTGTCACTCCACTTTTGAAGCCTAAATTGGTCTGACATTTTTAAATCAGATGTGTACAAGTGTTTTTGAAGACATTTCTTTCAACAAAATTTACAGCAGATATAAAAAGTCAACACACCACTTTCACAATGGTAGTTTTTTGAGAGCTAAAAAGATGAGACCAAGCTGAGTCATTTCCACCTTTAATATGGCCTACCTGCCTAACCTGTACAACTCAATTGAAAAACAAACCTAAGTTTCCAGTGACTGTCACGAGACACATCCTGAAATGGCATTTTTCTGCTCACTACATGACTTGTTAAATCCGAACCAAGTCCAAAGAAGTGACGTGGCACTTTTTTTTTTCTTTATTCAACTCCTACTGTTCCATGATCTCTGTGCTTAAACCCATTGTCACGCTCGGCAGATACAATGACATCATCTGCAAACATTAGTGCGATTTCTTCCATAGGCCATATTTACATAATCATACCACATGTACCCCTGCATTCAAAAATGCTCCTAATCTGTCAGATTGCGAGGGCATTTCCTGCGCTAGACCCCCTTTCACTTCGCCCACCGATGTTTGATCGGATTCAGATCTGGGATCTCGCTTATTAATCTTCCTCTGTTAAAGCCATCTAAAAAAAAAAATTGAATGTGTTTTTTGGGTCATTGTCACGTTTAAAGACGAAGTTCCTCTTTTTGTGCTACTACTGACTGTTAGTTGGCACATTTCATATTTCCCTCCACCTTGACTCAGGCACCAGTTCCATTAAAAAAAAGTGCCCAGGCATGATGCTGCCTCCACCATGCTTCACTATTGGCATGGTGTTCCTTTGGTGATTAGCAGTGTTGTGCTTCAGCCAAAAATACCTTTTGGAATTATGATCAAAAACGTTGGTTTCATTGCATCGTAACACACTTTCCCATACGTGTTTGGGAGATTATTGCGGGGGGGGGGGTTGTCTTTTGCCAAGTACTGCTGGGCTTGGATGTTTTTCTTTGTACAATACTATTGTATTACATCATGATTTATAAAGCGCCTTCACAACATCTGCAACTGTAACAAAGTTCAACAAAGTACATTTAACATAAAATGACCGTAATGCAACAGAACACATAACGTCACACATTGACAATCACTACAATCGTAACAACTATTCCTACATACAGATGTGGCTTCCATTTTGCCACCATAGGCCACACATGAGGAAGCTGGGAGATTGTTACATGTGCTAAACATGAAGTACTTGCCAGAAATAACTGCATCTACGTCACTGTTGCTGTTGTCCTCTTGGCAGCCACCATCACCAGTTGTCTTATTGTCTTTTCATCAATTTTGGAGGGACGTCCAGTTCTCGGTAATGTCACTGTTGTGCCATATTTTCTCCACTTGATGATGACCGTTTTTACTGTGTTCCAAGGTCTATTCAAAACCTTGGAAAAGTCTTCTGCTGACTAATACCTTTGAACAGTGAGATCCCTCTGATGCCGTAAAATTTGTCTGCTGACCATGGCTTGTGCTGCAACATGCGACTGCAAAAATGTCAGGGAAAAAAAAAAACACGAGAAGAGTTGAATCCCACTTAACGTGAGTTTGAATGTCATTGGTTACTTCTGAACACATTGACATGTCCCGTTTTAAGAGGGTGTGCACACTTTTGCAACCACATTATTCCCGTTGGTTAAATCCACCATGCAGAAGCAGCACTGCCTCACTTGGTTATTTCACTAAAACAGCACAAATTAAAACAACCAACAGAGGTGAAGTCTATCCCAAGGCTGGTGATTTTCTTTTTATCTGTAACCTGGAAGTGACCGTAATGAGTTGACTCAGTCAGCCACTGCCCTGTTCCTTTCTACTGTATTTATTACCCTACTGGTACTTTTACCAAGCCCTCTGATCCTTTTCCCAAGCCTGTGATATCATTCAAGGAAGAATGTTTATCATATGGGAGATAAGCGTCTGGAAGCTAACAAGCCCTCTTACTCAGATAACCCTGAGCAAAAGAAATTTTGATCTCAGTTGTCATTTGGCTTGTTCAATTTATCCAAAGGTTGTGTTTGGGCAAAATATTCAACCTGTTCTTCAATTGTGGAACAGTTTCACCATCGATATGTATATACAGGATGTGTAACTAGACCAATAGCATGCAGTACAGTCTGGCAGTCTGAGAACCTTGCTTGAGGGCTCAAGGGCCACGCGTTTAAGACCTGCCATTTGCACAAGACTTTTGGCAGTCTGGTTTGATGTCAACATCGTTTTGGCAACGGAAAGATCACTTTTATTAAATAGGTCTCCAAGTATTGTTTAATACTTCGGACCGTTCATGTGTCAATAGGGAACTTTTTAAAACATTGTTGGACAGTAAAATGTTGGAAAGCAACAAAACTCCAGTTTTTACGACCTCATGTGAATGTGTTCTTAGACTAGTTGCTGGAGAGTCAGCAATTTCGCTTTTCTGCTTAATTTTACCATATTCTCTTGAACAAGCTGTGCTAGGTTACAAAGAGACTGGGGATTCTGGACCATAAATAACAATTTTCTTTTCGTAATGTTGAGCACAATGACTAAGCCCAATTACTGTTTGTGAGTTTGCATACGTGTTGACTGCAAGTCGCAAGTGTGTGTGTGCCGGCTGTCTTGTTTACGTGTCTTTCCCATTCCCTGATGTTCTGCGGGTTTACTGTGTGGGCGTGGGGGTGTATGTGTGTGTACATGCGGTGTGTGTTGGTGTTTTATTACCTTACCTCAAGTGTCTGAGGTGTTAATTGTTTCAGAGGAGACAATGTTTCTTCCCCTTTGATATGGAATACAGAGACAAATTCACCCCCCCTGCCCCTTTTCCTCCTTTAAAAAAAACAAACAAAATCATTTCATGTAAAAGCTTTTTGTTTGTGCGTGTGGGAGAGCAGTGAAGACTTCAGATTTGTTGAAGTGATTCTTTCCCAGCACTTTTGAGACACAAAGGAGGTATTGTCCATGACTTGAAGATTTCTTAATCTCCAATTGAACCTTTTTTCCCCACACCAACACCCCCACCCATTCACCACCGTTGCCTAAATACCTCAAGACTAATTGGGTCTGAAATCAAACTCTGCTCCCCCTCACCGGACCTCCGGCAATGACAGCGTAAGCGTGCGAACAAAGGGATCACTTCATGTCGTACAGTATCTATCACACATCTTATGAGAGGGCATGACAATGAAATGTGATTGAAAACACAAAATGACAAAGTGAATATGGTGATTATCGTAGAGCCTCGACTTGCCTTTGTACTTTGCCATTTGTTTACAGCAACACCAGTAAGAAATTTTTGTGATGGTATGACAAATGAAAGCACAGAATCTTTTAGAAATAAGTAATGGTGCAAGAATGCACAGGAAAATTGCATCGGCTTAGCACATTTTAATCGTGTGCAACCGATGTCGATGTTCGAATGAAATAAATCCAAAGGTTCTTTTTTTCCCCAGCGTACATTGATGACAAATTGCTGTCACGCACGCCCACATTTAGCAGGCCATTCTGACCCAGTGAAATGTTATCAGACAGGCCGACCAGCATAACCCACTTTGCTTATTGTAAAGCACCAAGTGCCTTCATGTCATATGACTTGTTCA